GAGTGTGACAGACTGGAGACGTGTCATCTTCAGTGATGAATCCCGATTCAGTCTCAGTGATGATGACCACCGCACACGTGTCTGGAGGCGCACCGGCCAGCGGTCCGATCCGGCATTTATTGTCGAGCGGCATACAGCAATTTCACAAGGTGTGACAGTGTGGGGAGCAATTTCTTGGGACACACGATCATCTTTAGTGGTCCTTCAAGGCACTTTGACAGCTCGCAGATACGTGGACGATATTTTAACGCCGATTGTGCTACCCATGCTATCAAGTCGCCCAGGTGCCATTTATCAACAGGATAATGCTCGTCCACATACTGCGCGACTCTCCCAATAATGTCTTCAAGGATATGACGTCCTACCATGGCCTGCCAGGTCACCAGATCTTTCGCCAATAGAGCATGCCTGGACGCGCTGGGAAGGCAACTGCAGCCGTCCCGAGATACAGGAGAATTAAATGCGCAGATGCAAAGACTATGGCAGGATCTTCCACAGGGGTCATAAGTGATCTAATTGAATCGATGCCACGCCGAATTTCGGCTTGTATAGCTGCCAGAGGTGGCTTTACTACTTACTGATTTTTAACCTTTTGCAAGCTGTAACCGCTTAATAAAATGATATTTTGTTCTGAATTTTTAATCATTTGTTTATTTTCATATATACTACATGCATACCAAATTTCGTGAATGTAGCTCAATTTCTTCTGGGTGCATATATTTTTTGCGACAGAGTGTATTTGGAAATTAATTGTATTCTAAGAAGGAAACAATAGGTTTATGGTAGCTGAAATAGGTTATAAATCCATTAGATTCAAAAATACATTACATTCGTCATTCGACATTCCCCCGTTTCAGAGTGACAGGGGGAAACGTCCCTCCTTTCCTTTTTAGGGGTGTGTATGTCCGAATGAAGCCGAAAAAACCCGAAGAAGCGTTACATTCCCGAGCATGACGTTCAGTCAATTTCACTCTCCAGCAAATCGCGCCAATAGAAGTTATCACTTCAAAAATCTTAATAGAGAAATAATAAGCATAGCGAATGAAAATATTCAGAATGTTGTAATATTACTCAATTCCAGACTCTTAAATAAAATATTATCTTAATTCTAAATTGTTCTGAAAATTAAGTATGGGTAAAGTTGTTTTATTTCAGTAGCTGAAGGTAGAAAACATTATAAATGAACAATCAATAATCATATATTTATTTATTATTATTATTTTTTAAATCACGCAATGCATGCAACGTCAAATAAATCTTACACTACCCTTTTATAAGGCATAATGTAATAGGAATACGAAATACTAAGGGTTTTTTTAGTAATTTTAAAGAGGAATATGGAAAAAAATGAAGCCTGGCCGTGCACTTAAGTAAGATGAATGTGCTGTACCGTGCTGTGGGATTGGGAATAGTTCCCCTTTGGGACATATTAACTTGCTTTTGCGTGCTCTTAATTTTAATAAAGAGCATTAATAAACACAAGCCATGGTTCATAAGCATTAATTCAAACTTTTTAGAGGACAATTCCCAAAGATGTTTTGGAAAAAAGTGTAGAAGGCATTAATTATTCAAAGCAAAAAATACGATGGCTTGGGATTATATTTCCTAATTATTATGTGCTTTAAAACTTTGTTTAATAGCACAGCCACTTTTTTTTTAAGTTTAGAAATATTCTTTTAAATTTGAATTCAATTGCAAAATTTATGCATATATTTATAATTGAACCCTTTGTGATACATTATTGCACATTTTATCCTAAATATTGAAAAAATTTCATGCATAGCTTATTTAGATGTTTCTTCGTTCACACAATTCCTACTATTAGTTGTCACTCCCTCTCTTTATGTTTATCTTGTTCACATCTTCAATTGTTAATGAAACACATTTTAAAGCGCTCAAATGACCTGAAATTTTATATACATGATTGTTTCGAATGACAATACAGTAATTTAATTATAATTAAAAATTAATTGATTAAAACTAATTATTCAAATAATTAAAAATACATCCACTTGGCATCATTTTTGGTGACTTAGCAACCCTTTTGGAGACTTGTGTCAAAACTTGAAAAGGTTTTCTTTTCTCACATTTTAAAGCACCCATTTGAGCTGAAATTTTCTATACACTATTGTTTTGAAGGACAATACGACAATTTAATTTTAGTTAATTAAAATTAATTGACTGAAACTAATTATTTAAAGAATTACAAATACAGCCACGTTGGCTTCATTTTTAGCGACTTGAGTCAAAACATTATATTTTTTTTCTCGTGTTTTAAAGCATTCAATTGAACTTGCATTTTATATACACGATTGTTTTGGATGACAATACAATACTTTAATAATAATTAATAAAAAGTAATTGCCACTTAATGAGTTGATTCTGTCCTATGTATATACATATTTATATTAATTGTAACTATTTAATAGAAAGTAACAAAAAAGAAATTTTTCTTTGTTGATCTAAGTAGAAATCGACTTAATTTTTATATAGAGAGAGATATATTAATTGTTTTGAACAAGTTTTTTCAAGTAAATAAAATGTTTCAGAGCTTAAGGATGATACTTATAAGTTATTTGTGGATCAAAAACTAAGGACATTGCTAGTTTACCATCATATTTATAAATGCACAGCAGAAGTTTAAATTTAAAGAAAAATATGTAATCCTTTTTTAAACAAAAAATGTATTTCTCCTTTCGTTATATTTATATGATTTTTCAAAGAAATTTCACTTCCAGTGGCGATTCATATCCAATGACCGGTAGTCATCGAAAAAACCATGATTTAAAATTGCACATAAAATGTTTTAGCATTTAAGCTGAACCGTGAAGTTCGGAACCGTGATTTTGAAAAAGTGTATAAACAAAATAAATGACATATAAACATATATACATATAAAATAATTTTAAGGATGTTATCGAGAGAAGAAATTGCTTAAATGGAAGTAAAAATATAGAAAATGGTATGCTTTTCAAAACATTCTCTTTACATAAAAAATGCTTCTGTATTTATAAGGTGACCAGTTTTCTTACACTGAAAGAAGGACGAAAAATTTAAGAAAAAATTACGATTAAATATATGAAATGTGAACACTGATAGGACATGAACTGAATATAATATATATGAAATTTTATGACAGCCTGACCACCTGACCGAAACATCTGCACGTGCACCCCAGCGCCTAAGGGCACGTAAACTGAGATAGCCACAGTAGACTTTGGTCCTCATGGGCTGTTGCTCTACTGAGTTCAATTCAGTAAATATCTGAAATACTTTATTAATCCAAACAAAAATACGCTTACATTCCTTTTAATCAGTGGTGCCCACAAGAAGGGATTCCCGTATCCGGATCCCCCCCAAAGCTCTTTATTTTTTTCCCTATTGATTATAACCCTATGTATATAGTACGTAAAATTTAATTAAGTATTTATTATTAATAATTAATTTTATTAATTAATGATATTATTTATTCAAAAATTAAATTTTTACTGTTTTTTGTTCCCGAAAATCGACAAAATAAAAAAAATTTGTTGGACGGCGTATTGGAGCAAGGATACGAGAATGGTGAACTTTCGACCCTGGACCTCCTCCCCTCTCTTCAAAAATTCATGTGTGTGCCATTGCTTTTAATTATTTACTTAAACGAGTATTTTCCCATTCAATATTTTTTTTTTTATCAATATATCATTTTCTAATATACCGGATATTTTGTACGAGAAAAATCCTTCATATTGAATTTTACGGTAAGTACTGCGGTGTAGACATTCTATCTTGATTTGTCAGCTGTCCAGTGATCATTACCAATTGAAAAAAAAATACCTCTTCCAACTGCTGCATTAGTTCCAGGGCAGTACAATGTAAATTTAACAAGAAAAACTAAATTTTCATATGGAATATGTTCATTTTTGAAATGGTTAAATATTTTCACCCATCTTTTATCAATTTCATCAGGTTGATTTTTCCATTGTTTTTATTCATCAGAATTTAAACATATGAGTCCTTTTACAATTGTCATCAATTTTAATATCAGGTATTTCTTTCCATGAAAACTCAAAACCAATTTTCTGTGTCTCCCCAATTTACTTGCGATGAAGTGCCCATAACAGTTCGCCCCTGGCATCTCTGAAAATATTGAAAAGGAGGACAAGTAGGTGGATATTTTTTGAGGAAGACCAGAATCTATAAAAGGACTGTTTTCCCTAAAGGAGGACGATTGGTCACCTTAGTAATTATAATGATTTGCTTGTATATAGCTATGCTTTTTCATCAGAGTCTGGATTAGGAAATTTGAAAAAAATCTCATTATTTTCAGAGTTAATATCATTAGAAATAATAACCCGTTTTTATTGGCTCTTAACATACGTTCTAGCTATTCATTGGCAAATTGTTATTATTTTTGAAACATTATTCCTAAAAGGAGAATGTTTTGAATATATATAATTTTTTTCTGCATTTTTTTATTGCCCAAGATGACATTTAAAAATTTTTTCCTTGTAATGATATAATTAAAATAAGTAATATAAAAAAATTAAGTCAATTCCTACTGAGGTCAACAATGAAATATTTTATTTTAGTTACTTTTTATTATATATTTGCAATTAATATAAATATGTATGTTATATTTCTCCTAAATCGTTAATACCATTGTTCTGTTAAACGTACGTAACCATTATGTTTTTATGTTTTTCCAATAATTCAGTCCATCCTTTTAGGCATTTTGATTTATTTTCTTAGACGACACAGAAGACATGTACATTGCATAACTGATTCTACAAGCTAAAAAAAAGTATAATTCTCAGATGACTTGTTGCGCCATCTATTCATTTTTTACTTAATTAACAACATTGTATATACATATGGCAGAATCACAATATTAAGTAGAAAAATGGAAAGCGATTTTTCTTGCAAGTTTCTATTTTCCTTCCTACATAGGGTGTTGGACTATTATTTTTTTTTGTTACTATTTATTCATTCATAAATCCCATTTTCAGAAATTAGGCCATTCCAGGTAGGATTCAAACCCACGACCTTTGGATTAGAAGTCCAATTGCGCGCTACTGGGACACAACGAGCGATTTTCCTTTTTATATATGATGTTAGACTATTATTTTTATTTGTTACTATTTATTCATTAATTAAATATAATCAATGAATTGACATTTGAAAAAAATGTATTTGAACTTGAGTAGATGAATAAAAAGTATTTTTTAACGATTAAAAATTCGAAAAAGATATATATATATATATATATATATATATATATACAGTCGAACCTCCATACTACAAGCCTCTATATTGTGAATTTTTCTACATAGCTAACTTTGTCCTGTAACTATGAACATTTTACGATTTTCTTCATAAAATAACCCCCCCCCCACCAATAGCGAAGTCTATTTTTTTTCCATATAACGAACTTTTTCTCTTGGGATTCAATTCTCCCTTTATTTTTAAAGTATTTCTGGACATTTTAGGTTATTCTCTCTTTTAACACACTTAATAGTGGTCATAAATCTTGAATGTTTTTTCATTATATGCCTATCTCACCGAGAGCAATAGAATTATGGGCGTTTCATCCAAGAAGTGCAACCTTCTACCCAATTATCTAGTTCTTAGGAAACATCTTCTCGGCTTTCCCTTTCAACCTCAGTAGAGTTGTCTCGTGTCCCCGTATTCTTGAACTAGTCTCCATTTATAAGAAGTGTTGATCAGTCGCACTGGTAACTTCGTTTCTTGAAGGTCGAAAATGTCAAAGAATTAAGTGCTTGAGCATCGAAGAAAAAAATTAATTCCGCAGGAAATGGATAAAGTTGTCAAGAAACCTTATTTGCAGTTTTTCTTTCTTTTGTTTTCCTTTGACAGGTAAAATATATAAAATAAATATATATTAATTTACAAACAGGCATGAATAATTACTTTTTTAATATATATTTTTTATGAATTTAAAATTTGTTTCGTGTGGTATATATAGAAAATTGAAAGATGAACCAATATATAATGAATTTTCCATATAACGAACTTTTTTTCGGGATTTAGCGACTTCATTATATAGAGGTCCGACTGTATATATATATATATATATATATATATATATATATATAAAAGAAATATGTATTATTTATCAAATATATATATATATATATATATATATATATAGGGAGAGTGTGAACTAATATAGGGTGGATAATTTTATACATATGTTCTAATTCATGTAGCATTGAATTATTCATATATACACTTTTGTCAAATCACGGTTCCGTCAGTTATCAGATACCTTAAAATGAAATTGAATAACTAAAGATAAATTAAAAAAAGTAATAACAATAAGACGCACTTAAAAAATCAATCTAAAACATCAAAATAAAAAAATTCAACCCCCCTCCCCGTCGAAATTCGTGAGAAATTAGGGAAATAGGGCTGAAAAGAATAAAACGCGCATTTGCACTTTCCAGTCAAAGAAAATTCAAAATGATGCATCCCGTGATAAAAAATGAACCCAACAAAAATTTTCAGGAAAAAAGTTATTCCGGGAAAAAAAACGATACTAAAAAATAAAAATATCTGGTTCTGGGAGAATGGTTCATTAGTGTATCCTCATCCCTTCTTTGCCGAATCCTCCTTTAAATCACCCTGATCAAGTGATTTTTCCTATCCTACCCCTCGAAAGAAAATAAGAGGTAGAGAAGAGAAAGAAAATAAAGAAAGTATAAAAAAAACAGGAGCAGGTAGACGATGCAGGAGGAGGGGGTGGAGTAATCCCGGAGAATCCTTTCTGTCAAGACGGAGGATCCAAGGAAAACGAAAATGCCTTCAAGCCAATACGAACGGAAAACTCAATGCTCATGCTATTGATGTTAATTTGGAACTTTTCAAACGAAGGGAAGAAGTGCTGCATCACGCCTATTGGTCGAGTTGAGGGGTGGAAGAAGTTCGTCTGTCTGGAAAAGAAGAAATCCAGACAATGGAGGTGGGGGTGTTTCTGTTGCAAATGTCTGATGCTAATTTAAGAGTTTCGAACTCAAAATTAACTGTCACTTCATAGGGGTGGTTCGTTTAATAAGGCGGCACAATGAAAGAAACGGTTGAGTGGTTGTACGGATGCATGATTTTGAATGGGAACAGTCCTAGAACATGTCTTTTAGAATTAAAGCTAAGTTTAAATAAGAACGTTTTATTTTTCCTTTTGGAATTAGATTGAAATGGATGCGAAAGAAAAATAAGGATTTCGGGGTACGAAGAAAATTAGATGTCTGCGTGCCCCGATGGGCGCGTATATTTGTGGTATTCTGACAGCGATATTTTTAACGAAAGATAACACCGCTTCCACTTTTTCGAGTTGTAAGAATTACTTAATTCAGTGCTTCTCTGTTTGCGACCCAATATTTAATCATAATTCTCACCGTACCTCCTTTCCATACAATAACAATGCATTTAAATTCAATTATTCACTTTGACACTTAAACGACAATGCGACTTTAACCTTTTGCCATCAACGTATATAAAAGTCTCAGCCAAAGTGTTAATTGGCCCGGACGTATATATACGTCTTTCTGTAGTTCGATATTTTCTGTGCACTGCTATCCATACAATTATTCCGAAGACTTTGGAACGCAATAAAAGGACCTTTACAGTGTTTGCGAAGGATTTACTTATTTAAGAGGATTAGCTTAATTATTCCTTCCCCCCCCACCATTCATCACATACACGCGTCTACGTGGTTGGGGAGCAAATCACGTAACTTTGATTCAACAGTTAAGGGAATTATTATAAACCATACATATTACCAAATTAAGTTTTAATTTTTGTATAGAATTTTATATATGATAAGTTCATATGATCATTGGTAATTATTAATGTCGTTCCTAATTTAGTATTGCTTAATTAAAATACTGTATTATATCTGTATAAATGTGTGTGTTATTCTTTACTACGTCAGAATGTATTTTGTTTGTTTACTTTCAGTAAATTAATATACTTTTTAATATGCTCACCCCCCCCACGTAGAGATATCACACTATTCTAAGAGGGCGCGCCCCACAGTTCGAGAAACGCCGATTTAATTATAAAGAAACGATAAGTATATTTAGACAATTTTCAAATTATTTATTTTAATTTTAAGATAAATGACCGCGCGTATTTTCAGAACTGATTTTCAAAGAGCATGAAAATGAAGAACTACTTTTGATATTTAGTCTCAGTTGAATATGCAGAAAGAATGACATAGCTTCAAAATATTCTGTTTTTTTTTAATGAAAAATGCTTCTATAGTAATAATATTTTGCCTATATATATATAGCTTCTATAGCAGGATTGAATTGAAATTTTTGAAAAACACACTTCATTTTCAAAGTTACGATCAAATGAAATATAAAAACCGATATTTTGAGTTAAAACTTCTCTATTCAGATAGAATAAAATTAGAATAAATCCCCTTTTCTAGACGATATATTTAAAAAATTTTAGGTCAACCCCATATAAAAGTTCTAGTTATTATAAAGACAAAAGACAGGAATTTTTTTACAAGAATTTTTCATAAAAAGATCATGTTTTAAAAAGTTGCCTTTTTTTTCATGTTTTGCTAAAAAAAAAAAAAAAAAAAAAAAAAAAAAAAAAAAAAAAAAAATTGCATTTAAATTTTTTTTCTTGTAATAACATTCTTAAAACAATTTTATGCGTGCTTTCTTTTTCAACTGATACTAAATATAGAAAAATATCCATTTGTACACTTATTCAAAATCACGGCTCCGAATGTAGTCAGTTTCTTTAAAAACTCAATCTGATTTTAATAAGTAATTACACATTACTTAATGAAATTCATTTTGAAACTCTTGGCACTAAATATCACAAGAAGCATTCACTTGAATCTCTCTTTCATAAGTTTTAATTACTTTAACGTTTTATACTTTGAGAGAGTATTTATATAAATTTTAGAATGCATATATGTTACCGTTAAAGTGTGAAATCCGTTATTTCATAGAATAACTGGGTATTTCATGAAGTAACTAGACAAGTCAGTTAAAGTATATAAAGTTATTGTACTCTCTATGATTTAACTAGGTATTCTATAGAATAACAATTGCTTGATCGTTAGAGTGAGAAATACGGCACTCGAAAGTCCTTTAAACTGATTCTAGTTGCTTTTAGTCAGTTTTGAACAACTTATAGCTGATTTGTAATGACGTGTGTGTGTGTGTACCCTTCATTCTGTTGCTTTCGGACACAGAATTTAGACGGTGTATTTATATTAGCGTTTTACATTTTATTATTAACAAATATTTTTGAAACCTGTGTGTACCTGTTATACTAACCTGTAAATGAGAAAGATTCAATGCAAGAGAGATTTGAATCGTTTTTAAATAAGTGTGGGACAAAGGAAAACGATGCTGCGCTTACTCGTGAAAAATTAATGATTTTGGTAGCAGAAGCACAGAAAAAAAGTACCACGTGACCATAGGTTGCTCCTGCATTATGATTTATTTGAAGTTCAAGGATTAGAAAAGTTAATTGTGCCAGTAACAGTGCAAAGCATACCCCCCCCCCTTTCTGTTTAACTAATGTTAGCAATACGCGCAATAGTATATTACATCATCTGATTTTCCTTATTATTTATCAATTAATCAACCGCAATAAGGATAACGTGTTTTTTTAGAGATTTTAGCTATTTATGAGCAATTAATTTATAAAATAACTTTGAAATCGTTTATTTTTCCCTTTAACGGTCTATCATTAGTTATTTCGTACAATAACTAAATAAAGTAATCATAACTCGTTTTTCATCTAACTTGCCTCTAGTTATTTAATAAAATACCTAGTTATTCTATAAAATAACTGAATTATATTAATTAGCGTTTCTTAAGACTGTTGGCTGCCCCCTAGGGAGCTTGATAACTCTACGAGGGGGGCGCGAGCATATTGAAAATCAAAAACCAAAAATTATTAATTGACTGAAATTTCTCAAAAGAAAATACATTTACAATGAAAAAATAAAATACACATTTACACTGATACAATGAAGTTATAAATGTATCAGCACTTCACAATGTGTATTTCATAATTAATTGAACAATTTTAA